AAGATGTTATAAATGTTTAACTGTTAGCACTACTTGCCAAAAACCCTTGATCACGGGGTTGCAGACAACACACATCTTGAAATACAATGACAGAATAATATAGTACAAAAGACAGAGTCAAAAACATGGAAGAATTTTGAGGAGCACAACAGCACATAAAATTGTTAAAAGTACTTTTTTTTCTGAGGTCTAAAAAACATGGAGGCATGATTTCAACATCCTGTTCACTATCAACAAGTCTACGGAACTAAAGAGGAAATCAAACCTTCAAGTGAGCAGCAGCCTTGTCCTTGTCTGTAAATACTCCAGTAGACTCCACCACAAACTCTGCTCCAGTTTCACCCCAAGGGATCTCTTCGGGATTCCTGAACACACAACAGAAAACCACTTAATGCATAACCTTTTTGGCGAAAAAAGTCAATTCATCCGACCAAATTACACGGATTAAATTAAGTTCAGGAAATACCATACCTGATTCCAAAGACTTTGACTGGCTTTTCACCGAAAAGAAGGGTCTTATCATCCTTAACCTTAACCTCATGATGTTTCCATTGTCCATGGACAGTATCATACTTGAACATATATGTCTACAATTTGTGCATCACACAAATCAGAAAGGCACTTGACTACAGATCCAGAACATAGCTTGAACAACAACTACAACATTTTTTTTACTGTAAAACCGACGAACTTTTACAGATCTTCTAATTCCTAAAGAAGAATCGCGTAAAAATTCAATCTTGACTCGTGTTAACTGCAATAACAGGTAGTAGTTGAACTTACCATGTAATCAGTGGTGATAAATGGATCATTAACAGCAACAAGTTCTACATCATCCCTCTGCAAGACAACTCTAGCAACCAAACGTCCAATTCTTCCAAAGCCTGTTAGACAAAGACCCATAAAAAATTACAAAAAAAAAAAAAAAAAAAGACATCAAAGATCTCAACTTTGACACAAAACGAGCAGAACTCATCGTCAAAAAAAAAAAAAAAAGCGGAGAAGAAAAAATACAAACCATTGATTCCGATCTTAACCTTCCCCATGGATTTTGTCTAGCTCGAGGTTTAACAAAAGGGTTTTAGAGCAAAGTATGGACAGCAGAACAAGAGCGAGAGAAGAGAGAGAGAGATTGAGAGTGAGGTGAGAGAATAGGAAAATGGGACTACTTTAAAGAGGTAGAAGACGGTTTTCCAATCACAAGCGGTGGGCGTTCACGCGAGCGGCTCTCTCTTTCTCTCTCTATAAGTCTTGGAGAAAAAGTTAAGCATCCAAGACTAGTAGTGCTAAAAGGAAATTATTCTTCAAAAGAATAAAAAAGGGCAAAAAGTGTAAAATGAAAGAAGGTTCCAGACTGACTGTTTTGAGGATTTCGGAAATGGGAAAATTTGAGGATTTGGGAAACGGGAAAATGGAAATGGTGCTATTAGTTTAAACGAATGATGTTTACTGTTGTAAAACCGGATGAGTCGGCTGATTTGTGTGCCTAGGTCAAGGTGGTTTTGGACTTAATGTTCGGCCTCGACTTTTTAGCCTTTTTAGGCTTTATATATATTATTATTTATTTATATATATAAAGAGAGAAACTTCACTTTAAGGAGAGGTAAATTAGTAATGAATTAGTACTAGTGAAGGATTTAGTTTCCTTTTATTAAAGCAAAGACAATTAATAATGAACTTATCCCAAAAAAAGAAATGATTATATGAAACTAAGTAATCATTATTTTTTTTTTCTTGGGGTATCAAGTTCTCTTTTCTTTCCTTGTTCAAGAAAATTATTTTTAAGGAAGTGGGGTTTAGGAATTCTAATAAGCAGCATCATTAAAGAGTTTCCATGTATGGGTAAGTAAAAAAGTTCGCGTATTTTAAATGAGTGAGTTAGCCATGGTATTTATGGGGAATGCAAAAAATCTATGGCGTGATTGGAATATTCGGGGCATAATTCGATAATCAAACGGTAGAAGCCATTGGATTGGATCATTCCATGGTTCAGGAAGATTACACTAGTAGTATTTCTTTTCGTCTGACTTTATTGCTTAAAATTTTGAATTTATTTTTTTTGACAATTTTTCAAACTTGATTTTTTTTATGTATAAAATTGGCTTCTGTATTTAGACAAGTCACTGAAGTTGATTCTAGACGGGCTATGAGCCGTTCTTTTGTTGGGTTACGTTGTCGCTGTCCTCTTTTGCCTCTTCCTTCAACAGCCAGCCATCATCGTATATTTCGTGGTGGTGCGAAGTTGTAGTATAAGACTTTTTTTTTTTTTTTTGGAGTTGGACTTGTGATAAATCCGACCGATGGTGCGATGGTGGGCTGGGTCATCTTCTCATCTCATGTCATCTATTTGCAAACTCTCAGAGCCAGACAATTTTCATGAGCAATTCATCGCTTTGATTTTTTTACCGGTAGTGCCTTTCAATTTCAATGGTGATGGCCCTTTACTACTTTATTTATTGTTTGCTAGGTGAGGCTTGAAACTTCTCGTGAGCTGCGCGGCTCGTGCCCCGATCGAATATCTAATGGTTTCCCGATCCTCAATTAATTACGATGAGAAAAAGTTGAAGATTTTTATTTCTTTTTTTTTCAATAGATCGTGTTCATTTCAGCGAAAGAATGAAAACACTAGTACTATTTCGATAGAATATTATTTAAAATAATTATTATAATATTTTTTATGATATGATGTATATAAAATAAAAAGGTGATTAAAAATATAAAAAAATAAATTAAAAATTATATTTACGGTACAAGCGAAATATTATTTAAAATAATTTACAGGCCTAGCAAAATCATGCCTTTCACCAACAAATACAATCACGCCATGCTATATGGTTAATTTCAACAAATTGTTCTGTCATTCAACGAATTATTATTGTGGCAACGCCAGAGTAGCAGACCAGCTGCGTTGTAGTTACTTTTAAATTATTAGTATTATTATCATCTTTTTGGGTCTAAAACTAGCTTTCTTTTTTTTTTTTTGGGGTAGAATAGATATAGAATCTAGAACTTGTGGTGCTGTGGTGGGGTGTTAATTCGTCAATTTTTAGCACAAAAAGCGTCAGTCGGAGGGCTCCCAAGCGTGACGTTTTACGTCAGCCACCATGCAATATCCATGCGCCCTTTGAGACTGCAATAAATCGACAAAAAAAAATTACCCAGAAAAGAAAGAGAAGTCCAATAAAAAGAGGAACAGGACAAAAATGGCGTCGCCCGGACTCGAACCGGAGACCTTCAGTGTGTTAGACTGACGTGATAACCAACTACACCACGACACCTTGTTGTTACGCCGGACAACAGCTTAATGAGTTGCATTGGTTGACGTGCTCACCATTTTTTATGTTAAAACTTAAAAGATCAACCGAGTTGAGATTTTGGAAGGAAAAAGTGTTCATGGAATTGCATGTAGAGCTCCCCATGATAATAATAAGGGTTAATTTCACATACCTCCCTTGAGGTTTTTAACAATTACAGAAAACTCCCCTTAATTTCTAAAAATTACATCTACCTCCCATATTTTCACTATTTAAGTAATATTCTAGACCAAAAAAGTTATATTTTTCCAAAATTTCTATAATGCCCTTGAGTTATAATTCACGATAAAAATATAAAGAAAAAAATGGTTTACAATCTCTATTTCACTTATATTTATTTCCTACCACTATTACCTACTTATCAACATTGAAATCATCACTAAATAAACACTTATTTTTGTTCTAATGTTCCTCTTTTACTTAAAAATTTCTGATGCAGACCATTGTATCAACTATAAACGCTACATCATATACCCAAAAACTTACCTACAATTTCATAACAATATCATATTTTACTTAATATACTACAATGTTCATCAATATCCCAAAATTTCAATTCCATGGCTGTCAAAAAGTTGCTCAAAAATGCTATAAACGCTATATAATGTATCCAAAAACTTACCTACAATTTCATAACAATATCATATTTTACTTAATATACTACAATATTCATCAATATCCCTAAATTTAATTTCATGGATGTCACATTTTTAATACAAAATAATCTAAACCATTGCTACTAATATCAATATCCAATATATTCCATTGGCACAGGGTTCAAAATCAATCAAATTCTCTCGATCGGAATAATATCAATAATTGTAAATAAAAAATAGAAACACAATGCAGTTATAAATATATACCAAGAACATTTTTTTTCATGATAGCCATAACAGTATAACTTATATTTAGTTCATATTCCACTTCTTATCCTTAATTTTTATTTTTTTATCACTATCATTATCTTCATCTCTATCTAATTTGATAATGAAATTAGCACTCAATTTGTTATTTGACAATTTCAATTTGCTAATACCTATCAAAAATTGGAAACAAAAATAGGCGCAAGGAAACTATTTACTAATAATGGAAAATCGAGAATTGAGAATAGATACCAAGATATATAAGTATTGGTGGTTTAATGTGTATGTCGATTTTATTAGTAGCCACAGTACATATTTGGTTAATAATAATAAATTAATGAGTTTGAAAGAAAAATATATATATAAGGAAGATAATAGATAGTTAAATGGAAAAGACTGTGGTTTGAATTATTAGTTAATAATAGATGAGAAAGTTTTAATATTTGATAGAGTTTTTCAATGAGTTGACAATTAATAAAAGGTATTATTGTCTTTTTATCACAACAAGGGAGGTCTTTGTAATTATGTAAATCTCAAGGGCGTCGAGTGAAATTGTCGAAAACCTCAACAGAGGTTTTTAAAATTATCCCTAATAATAATGAGGGATAATTTTTTGGAGCCGGACATCATATCCAAAAATCCCATGTCCCTATTTTTGACAGCAAAGCTACAATGCCTGGCCAAAAATTTGCAAGACCTTTGGTACACAAACGCTTCCTATATTCCTGGGGCTTCAGTAATGTACCTTATATAATGATCTATATCATCGGTTGCAGCATTTTGGTGGTTGCTTCTCCTAGCACTTTGTCTAAGGTTAGGGAAGAGACCACTTTCTTCACTTTTTTTTTTTGTTTTTTGTTCTCCTTTGGGGTAGCTTGAGGGCAAGGAAGGAAATTTTGTTGTGCTTGTTGTCGCATCCTTTGCAGCAGCTCCAAACATGGGTGGTTATTCCAGATGGATTAAGCCTGAGGTAACTCTCATTCTTCAATTATTTGTTTCTATTGTTGAACCATCATTGTTACGTTATGTTTGCTTGGTTTAACCAAATCTTGATTTCTTGCGCATGGTTCCTTACTTTAAATATTAGAAAATTAGTTTCAAAATTGTCACCATTGCTAGGGATTAGGAATGGCTTTAAAAGGCCTGGAATTAATTTCTTCTCTTTTTTTAATGTAATATTTGAATAGGTATATCCACTCCTGGCACCAGTTGCCGCAGTTGTAGGCCTATGCACCATGCAACTTGTGAGGAACATCTGTACTAATCCTGAAGTCAGGTACCTTTTCTTGATTTTTTTTCCCACCAAATCTGGTCCAGTTCGAACTAATACCAGTTGTTTGGCAAAGAAAATGTGAACATTTTAGATTGGAGCATTTTAAGGATAAAGGCTTCATGTTGTCAATTAAATGATGTCTCTAATTCTGATGGATTTAAAGAATGTTGTACATTGAGATTGAGAAAGCAAAAGACTCAGAAGAAATTTCCATAAACAAATACATTGAGACTGATGCAAGCTAATTGAACATTGTCTGACCTATATTTCCAATCTCAGGGTTACTAAAGAGAATAGAGCTGCAGGGGTGCTTAACAACTTCGAAGAGGGTGAGTATTATGCACAACATCGTCTTAGACAGTTCCTTCGAGGCAGGCGCCCTGAGGTGATGCCAAGTGTTAACAAGTTCTTCTCAGACCCGAACTGAAGCAGATGTTTAAAGAATTTTGTTTCTTTTGAGTTTGATTTTGGTTATTGCCAAACGTTAAAATAATGTGTAGAAAATTTCAGCCGCTTATCTTTCTTTTTTTTTTTTTTTTTGGTTCCTGGAACAACTTTAAGTTCCAAAGCATTTGATAAAAATTGTTCAAATTCTAGTAAACAGAATTCTATTCCAAAGCATCTGGGAGTCTGAACTTGATAAAATTGTACATGCCACGACATAGAATTGGGAAAAATAAATACTGATATGTTATTGATTGTTAGCTTATGGCTTCTAGACAAAAATTAAGTATTGGCTTCTAGACAAAAATTAAGTATTAATCTCCTTAAATCAATGATCAGAGAGGCTCTATTTTATTACAATTTGAGGTCAATCTAGATTATCAGATTGAACTTCCAGCTTAAATTTTATACTGTACTATCTCAGGAGCAATCTGACAGTTTTTCAACTTGTACTAGATCTCTTGACACCATCTATCATGGCTTCAAATGTTTATTTGTTCTAGCCTATGACTTTCTTTACTAGCTAATTATTTTTTTTTGCCTTTAAAATATGGAAAAATAAAATAATGAAGTAAGGAATGATTGAACCGAAAAGCAAGTTAGAGAGATTTGTTGAAGCAGCATCTAATGAGCAGATCAGAGAGCATCATCAGAAGTCACTTTGAATTCTGTTGAAGTTTAATTTGGATTGAATTTGGAATTATGAACCAAACACTTTTTAATTTATAGCTTGAACCCTAATATCTCAAATATTGATAATGTCATGTTTTACTAAATTATTGTATATTCATGATACTATTGCATATAAACCACAATCATTATATTTTTTTATAAACAAAGAATATAATTAAGCTAGACAAATAAACATACATGTAATTTGAATTCTTTGTATTATCTTAATTATATTTTTATTAATAATGGAATATAAATGATCCACCACGTAAAATTTTTTTGGCTTACATTCTAACAATTGAAATTTCATAAATAGAGATAGTTGGGGTTTTTTTATTTACCTTTTCTTTTATTCATATTTTTAGCACAATCCAATGCGAAGTAAAAGTAACAAGTTTACTTTTTTCATATGAGCACAATATTTTTTATTTCAGTATTAGTTTTTTTGATGATCATTGAATTGGAATGAGAATTGTGGCTAATTAACAATTTCAATATCAATTTTTAGTATATTGCAGTGTTTTATTTTTTAATTGCCAACTTTGAATCCATAATCACTATCATTATTGTCAATTATTAGAATGCACTAAATCTGTCTTATTACAATTGTCACCATAATGAAATTTACTTAATTTTAAAGCTTTTCATTTTACAACCGCTACCATTATTCACTAATATTGCAATACAATAAATATATGTAATCATTATAAAAATAAGGGTATTTTGGACATCACCCAAAATAATTTGGATAGCATTTTCATTTTATCATTCTTCATTTTAAGATTACGCTTATTATAATCCTTATTTATCATTTGAGATGGCTTCTGGCTTGATGGATGGATTTGATTTGTTCAAACCAATACAAATGAAGCATTACTATATTATTATCAATAACAACGTTTGTCTTCCCCTGAATATCAATTATTTGTATTTGGTATTATTTGAATTGTATTCTAACTTTTCAATTCATTTGCTATTTACTTTATGTTATTTTATGAATAGTTTTCAATTTTTTTTCAGTTTTTCTTATTTTGATTGATTGATATTAATGATAATAATGGTTTTGCAAGGTGCTATTTTAGATTTCTTTTTTCAGTTTCTTCATATGGGAGTGTTTCATACTTTTATTTCTTTTAATTAGTGCCACATTAAAATGTAATAATTCTAATTAAAAGATGTAAGGGTAATTTAGGGATAATAACAACTAAGTTTTTCAGTTTTTTCTTGATTGCTATTAATGATAATAATGGTTTGTATGGTGCTATTTTAGATTTCTTTTTACCGGGTTATTTCAATTTCTTCATATGGAAGTATTTTATTCCTTTTGATTAGTGACACATTAAAATACAATAATTCTAATTAAAAGATGTAAGGGTAATTTAGGGATAATGGAAACTAAGATAAAAAAGTGCTTGCACTCCCTAATGCAAAGATTCAAACTTTTTATATACTAACTAGTAATGATAATGATAAATGATAATGATTGCTCTGAATTCATGCGTAGCTTTGTCTTGAAGAGCTGCTGGTGCAACATGATGGGATTGCTTAGTTTATCACTATTTTCAACCAAAGCTGGATAATTTTTACTGTTGGCATGATCTTTTCAAAAATTCCGTGACCAAATTTGAGAATGCTGAAGAATTATTCTCAAGCAACTGAGCTGGAGTGTCATACTCAATAATTTTACCTGCATTAACCAACAGAGCGGTTATAGAAACTCAAACCTACACTACTACTGATGCATTGTGTAATTAGAGTGACATGAAGCATAATTTGTTCAATTTGCATTCACGTAATCGAAGAATTTGTGCCTGCTGCCTCAAACTTTTATGAACTGTGAACCCGGTGATGCGAACTGCAAAAACACACCTACTATGCATAAAAATATTAGACAGCTTGGATATATCCACAGGCTATCTTTCGTACATAATCTCAAAAAATTCACCATATTATAACCTCAGCCTTGCATGTTTTTGAAGGTTCTTGTCCACTTAATTAGCATTTCATATTAAGAGTTGTGCTTTCGTGCAATTGTTTCATTTGTGCTAACCTTCCCCAAGAACCAGAACGAGGTCATTGTCAATGACTGTAGGTATTCGATGTGCCACGGTTAGTACTGTGCACCTGTTTGTTTCTGCTCTTATTGTCTTTTGGATTAAATCGTCTGTTGCGGTATCCACTAAAGCTATGGCCTCGTCCAGTACCAAAATTCTCCTTTTCTGTAACAATGCCCTGGCCAGGCACACCAGCTGTCTTTGCCCAACACTCCAATTTTCTCCATCTTCTGCCACTGTTTCAATTGCCAAGTTTAACAAATTCAGCAAAATAGAGTGGTATATATTTAAATTATTTCAAGACCATCTTCCTTCATTCTTTGTCGTGTGCTTGTGTCCCTATGAACTCGCTCATTTTTGTTTATTGTGAGGGTGATGGAAGGAGTTATACAATTGATTTGGGAGCATACCTGGTGCGTCAAGAAGCCTTTGATCCTGTTTTACTATCTCAGCTAGATGGCATTTGTGCAAAACCTGATGAACTAACTTGTGATAGTGAGAATTAGAATCCATATGCTTCCAAATTGTTAAAATAAATGTTGCTTGAGAACTTACCTCCCAGATGTCTTGATCAGAACATAGTTGTAATGGATCAATATCGTTCCTTACAGTGCCCTGGAACAAAATTGGATCCTGTGGGATTATACTTAACTTAGATCTCAAATCAATCAAACCAATCTTGCAGATATCGAGTCCATCTATCAGAATCTGCCCATCTGAAGGTTCCACCACGCTGAATAGGGCTTGGATCAAAGTAGACTTTCCACTTCCTGTTCTTCCTACAATGCCAATTTTCTTTCCAGCTGGAAAGGTGCAGGTGATTCCTTTAAGAACTCTCGGAAGAGCAGGGCTGTATTGCACATGGAGATTTTCAATTTCAATTCTTCCATGGGGTGGCCATTCGGAATAGGGTGGGCAACTCTCACTAACTAATGAAGCTTCACTAGGTATATGAGTGAATTGAAGAATCCTCTCAACAGCTATCATTTTGTTCTCAACATTACAGAGGTTCCATATAACCCAAGCTTGGAGTACATTTAGATTCAAACCATAGGTGGCCGCTAGTCCAGCCAAACCTATGATCGGCTCAATAAATTAGATAATTTAGAGTGAAAAGGGGTAATGGTGCAAGAAACCAAAAGTTAAGAGAAACCAAAAGGGGTAATTTAGACTGAACTTTCTTTACTTGTGGTCGCAGCAGAGTCATAGAGGCAAACAGGAAAAGTGAATAATTTGAAGCAAACGAACTTCATATAAATGCAGTTTCTTCTCTTAGCTTACCATTCCTAAGGTCTTCCTTTTATTCCTTATTTCAGATATAAATAGGGTTGATTGAATCAGGACCAATGCAACTGGTGATACTTCATATGGCTCATAGAGACAATATAAGCAAGTTGTACCAACATGTCATAGAAAAAACAATATGGAAGGAAATACTTACTAGGGTCTATTGCAGACCGTAGAATGGTCACCAAGATGACAAGGAGAATAAAGAAAACAAGGTTGAACAGGAAGTTAATCCTAAGACAAAGCCATTCCATTGTGGATGAGTTGTAAACTACAACACGAGAATAATCATCAACGAGATGCAAATTTTTTTTTGAGAAGCGATTCTCTTGATTGAAGCAACAAATTGTTGCAGCCCCAACAACCGATTCTGAAAAATGATGGAGGATTGGAGCTTTCTGAATACCAACCATCCTTGCTAGTTCTCTGGCTGTGGATATATAATAAGCCTACAAAAGTAAATGTCTTTGGTGATTGACCATTTAGCTTAATCATGTAATAGCACCGAAGTTGTGGTCTTGGCGTACTAAACTCCCTTTCCCTTAATATGTCTCTTAAGAGATTTCAACTTGTTTAAATTGAAGTTTACGGAGATCAACTTACGATTCTAATAAAGAAGTCAAGTTACCTGATACCACATGAAAATGGCCAGGATAACAAGGAAGAGGAAGAAAACCTGCCACGCGACATGGGACATAAGGATGATAATACTCAATAGCTGGATAAGGGCAAATGCTAGTCCAGCTAATCTGTAGGGAATATCAGTGTCCACTACGCTTTGATATGTAGAAGACTAAGAAATCACCAACGAAACTTATTCAAGATAATCGCTATCCGAAACTGTAAGACAATAGTAGACAAGTAAGTTGAAAAGGTAAAAGTTACTAGGGAAAAATCCACTTTTCGTCCCCAAACTTTAACTCAGAGACACATTTCGTCCCTCAACTTTCAAGTGGTACACATTTGGTCTCTGAATTAATTTTTTTTGGACACATTTGGTCAAAAAACGTTAATTTGTCGAAATTGAATGGAGAGGGTCACGTGCGTTGCGCGTGGCCGTTAAGTGATACACAGTACTCAGTCAAACAGTCAAAATCAAACAAAATTTACAGCCTCTCCCCAATTTCATCTTCCCGTTCCTCGCTCCTCCATTTTGCCATCTTTCAACTACACATTCGAATCCAAAAATTAGTAAATTGGAGGTTATCGAATCGCGATTAAAGCCAGCATAGGAGGAGTGATGTCGATTCGGAAGTAAGAATTGAACGATCAGCCGCCGCCAACTTACGGTAAATTTCTAGGATTTTCACATTAATTGGTCACCATAATAAATTATGTAAATTTACCAACTTTTGTGGCTATAATATGTCAATTTGGTCCCTGATGTTTGTGTTGTGGGTGTATGAGTGAGAATCTGAGTTTTTTTTTGTGAAAAGATTAAATATTTTTATTTGGCTTTGCCGGAGCATATATGTTAGAATAATCTGCATGTGGTCCCTATTTTCGATTATGATATTTAAGATGGGTCCAAGCTGTTCGCATTGTTGGTTACATTCTTGCTGCTATGAGTTGTTTTGTCTGATTCATTGATTTGTATGTGAATTTTTTTTTATCAGAACAAGGTTCTACACTTATAACACTAAAGTGTCACCACGGCGGGCTGATCTCGTACACCCCTCATCCAAATTATGAGGGTGGAGATGTTT